GCAGGCATTTCACTTCGAATGCGAACTCGAAACCGCGCGGCGATTCTTGCCGTCCACGGAACCCCCGTCGCCTGCTGCCCATCGCCCTTGCCCGCTCCACGTTGCCATCGCCAGGTAAGTGGGTTAGCTTCGCCAACAACGCCATCGCCCGTCACCATCGCCCTGTTAGGAGTCCTCCTCCTCCACCTCCTCCTCCTGCTTCTATTTCTCCTCTTCTTCTTCTTCTTCTTCTTCTTCTTCTTCTTCTTCTTCTTCTTCTTCTTCTTCTTCTTCTTCTTCTTCACACACACACACACACACACACACACACACACACACAGAGTCTCCTCCTCCTCTTCTTCTTCTTCTTCTTCTTCTTCTTCTGGGCCCCTCAGGCAGGGCACAGAACTGTTGTCAGGTCAAAAAAAAAAAAAACTATGTTTTTTCTCACGCCCAATTGACCCGGGCGTCGGACCTGCCCGGGCGTCACGCCCGGGTTCCCGGCCGTGACAAGCCGGGCGTGGAAATCTTCCTAGTTTTTCAGATTTTTTGGGAGGTTTTTTTTTTTTTTTTTTTTGCTGAGGCTGCCGGGGGTCATGCTCGGCCGGTCACCCGGTCGCCAAACCGGGCATGACGTCGGGACCCGGCGCCCGAGATATCTCCCTAGCACCGAATGTATTGCTACAACCACTGTAAACAGTGAAAGGAAAAGGATAAACATGGAAAGACAAAAGAGTACACAAACACACCATGCACAGATACACATACACCCCAAGATTGACAAAACAAAAACGACCAAAAGGCTGCAGCATGCCAATGCTCAATCTCAGAACCTCTGCTGCACGAAGTCTGCTTTTACAGGAAATCCCTCTCACCCGACTGCGGTGACTGGTTGCATCCCCACCTAGTATTTTTATCATCTGGCGTCAGACATCTAAGTAGTGCCAGCCCAGATCAGTTTTCACGACAATTGAAACTGATGGGGAAAAAAGGTCTGGTGTAGCTTGCTGGAGTCGCCAAATGTACAGGTTTTCTGCCTCACACTGGTTAAGCATTTGACATATGATTCAGCACTCTCCTCCCCTCCTCCTCCAACTCCAATTCCTCCTCCCCCGCCTCCTCCTCGTCCCCTTCTCCTCGCACCGGAGTATTTGTACCACGCATTCCACAGTCTACTGCATTAACTCCTGGAGTCCCTCTCCTCCTCCTCTGTTCTTCCTCTCATCAGACTCCCCCACCTCCTCCTCCTCCTCCCCCTCTCCTCGTACCGGACTGCTTGTACCACGCGTTCCACAGTCTCCCTCTTCGAGTCCCTCTCCTCCTCCTCTTCCTCTCATCATACTCCCTTCCTCCTTCATTCTGGTCCTCCATTGCTTCTCTGTGTGTCTCTCTCTTCTGCCCTCTGTTGCTGGTGGGTCTGTGCCCATTTCTGCCTTTGTGCTGTCACGACTCAGGCGCACCAGTTACTTGCTCTCCCCAACGAGGCCTACTACAAGCCACTACCTCTTCCTCCTGCATCATACCTGCGCAAGTGGTTAACAGGGACCCCCACTTTTCAGCTATTGGGTTAACGGGTTCAGAACTCCAGAACTGAAATTAGGGTTCGGGGGTCAAATTTTCCCTTGCAGTTTTGTAGTGTTTTTTTTTTTCGTTTTTTTTTTTTCCTTTGCATCTTTCTCGGACTGCTACTGTCTGCTCATCAACTTCTCGCTCATGCAGACTGTGCCTCTCAGCTGCCTGCCACCTTCTTCTGACAAAAGCTATTTTCTAGCCTGGGGCCTTGATATGAATTTCTCAATAGCCCATGGCTTTCGAGCTGTCTGCCAAGGGGAAGTCCCATTCAAAATTTTACGGCAAGCCTAGCTTCTCAGCCCAGGTACTATAAATACTACTGTTTGATTCGTTCAGGAAAAGACAAAAAACACTCGGATGCATGATTGCAGATGCGGGAACGTTAACCTTTCTAGTCGGTGCCCTTCTCATCATCTAAACCCTATCTTCTGTACAGTGCTTTAGAAACACTCCAGAAAAACTGAATTCCACCTCTTTGTGCAAGAGGTGGTCTCAATCCCCCTCTGCTTTTTCACTTATCTTTGATAGCATCTCTTCCACTTGACTTCTGAGCCCAGAAAGGCAATGAAATGGTACACGGTTTGATCAACAAGAAACACATATTGTGGAAAAACAGGATGGCACAAGACCACTGCTGGATTTATAGACCACCAGAATGTTTTCCTACGCCACTGCCAGGTCGGACTACAGGCGCAATGACAGAAGGAAACCTGAGCCCCRGGCGWCARGATCACATCCCACACGCTGGGCCCCMCCCTGCCGGCCCCTCCGGCTCYCCCTTGCCATGCCCCCCCCCTCTCCCGGTATGCTCACTCGTATCGGCCCCTTCGCCTCCTCCCCCTCTCCCGCCTGGCTCGCCCTTTCAGACCCCAACGCCCCCCCCCCCTCCCCCGGTCCCGACTGGCCTTCCTCCCCCTACACCCTCGCCGCCCCCTCCCCTTCCGGTGTCCCCCCCTCCCTGCACTCCGTCCCCCCCCTCTTCTGCCCCCTCACCCTCCCCCACCGACAAAGCCCCCCCCCCTCACGCTGCCTCCCTCTCTCCCCCCTTATCTGCCTTGCTCCACTCTTCACCCTCCCCCTCCCGATCTCAGACCTTTTCCCGCCCGGTGGCCAGCCGACTCACTCCGCAAGTGCATCAGTATCCTTCAAGCATTCTTCAGAGACTGCTGACGACATCGACAATGCCACAACAGCCTTCTCAGTACCTCAACAATGAAATCACGGCAGCCCTGCGCTGCGCTGGTCCTGAACTGTGAACAGCATGGCTCCCTCCCAGTACAGGGGCTGGGGGGCACTTGCCGACCGCACAGCTCAGACTCACGCCACCAAGGGTGGATCGGTGCAGAGGAAAATAAATGCAGCTGTGGGGTCGGAGAGGAAGCAAGTAACGGGGGGTTGCAAACACCTGGGTTTCAACTAGGATCGACAACCTGAAGGGGGACAGCAAATGAGGATTCAGTTCGCAAATTCCAGGGTGGGACGGGGTCAGTAGGAGAAGGCGCTCTAGAAATAGAATGGGTGATTGATGCAGCCCCGAGGGAAAGTCAGTGCTCCAGTGCTCGAGGCAACGAATTGGCAAGACCATAGTCCCAACAACGATTTTGCTGAGAAGATGTATCTAAGGGACGCTGGACCCGTTTTCCAGCAGGTGATGCTCCCCACCAATAGATGGAGCCTGTCCCTAGGTGCTAGCGGTGTCTGCCCTTATCAGCATCGCTAGCACTGGAGGGATCTGTTTTTGTTTAAAAAAAAAGAAAAAAAAAAAGAAAAAAAAAAAGAAAAAAAAAAAAGAAACACAATTGAGGCTGAAAAAGGCAACAATTAACACAAGAAACGAAATAGGTGTGAGAAATTGAGAATACACCACCACCCTGTTGTTACATGCTGCGCCTGCAAACGAGGGCCATTTTCAGGCCGTGTCGTTTCACCTGAAAGCCTGTAAACAAGGGCCTACAGGCCCTGTGTCGTTTCTGCCTGAAAGCCTGAAAACAAGGGCCTACAGGCCCTGTGTTGTTTCAGCCTGAAAGCCTGAAAACAAGGGCCTACAGGCCCTGTGTCGTTTCAGCCTAAAAAGGGCCCTCCAGGCCCTGAGTCTTTTCAGCCTGACACGGAGGGCCATTTTCAGGCCCTCATAAGATCGACCTGCCCTGAAACTCAGGCACCCGACCAGGGTTTTAGCACAGGCCATTTTGGGCCTGTTTTCAAGACAACCTTTGTCTGAGCTTCAACGCCAGGGTCTGGCACATTTTGGCATTGGCAAGAGCAGCCTCCTGGACGGGACGTTGGCTAGGCTTTGATTGAATTGAAAGCCCATCGAAATTGGTTGTGAGACGGCGCACCGTAAAAATAGGGATAAAAAGCTATTTTATCTACAGAAGAGATCCAGCACTATATAAGACTGGCCCGCCCTGCAGGCTGCAGGTAGTTCATAGGGACTTCCCAGGCACTTCACGTGCAGTTCAGGAGGCAGGAGGTAGTCTTCAGGATTCGGCAGCAGCACTCTGGAGGAGCGCTGCAGTAGTAGTAGTAGCGTTAGCATTAGTCTTCAGCGCTGGGTGCTAGTAGGAGCTCGAGTAGTACTGGAGGGAGAGAGAGATTTGGCGGAGGCCAGGGAGACTTACCTGCAGCGCCATAGCTCCAGCTTCATCTTCGAGGTACCTGCAGCACGGCGCCATCTTCAGAGGTTAGTACCTGGCACATGACACAGAGAGAGAGAGAGAGAGAGAGAGAGAGAGAGAGAGAGAGAGAGAGAGAGA